CAGAGATTTGTTTTGTGTATGTTATATCCTGGTGCTATTATTGTAATTTTATTCCGAAATAAAGTGTATTTAGTAAGGAATTTAGTGAGGAAGCAGTTTTGTAATGGATTGGATGGAGGGTTGTATGCAGAGTAGAATACATTCTTATGAATGTTCTGTAAATCTTTGTTGGTGGCGATACGTATGACATCTATTAGACTTCAAAAGGAGCAAGTCACACTGACATAAGTTCCTCTGACCTTTATTATATCACGATTTGTTAAAATGTTTTCCTAGATGCATTTCCTTTTGTGTGTATGGAAACATTCAGTATAGTTTATTAACTATAAAGTAACTAAGCATAAAATTGTAATGCTACTTTTACACTAATTTTTAATACTTCATTTATTAGCAGTCTTGCTTGAACAATCTTTTTGAACAGAACTAATACAATATTTTGATGTGCCACAGGTAAATATTTCCATAACCTTATGGAGAGAAAGGACTTTGAGACATGGCTTGATAACATTTCTGTTACATTTCTTTCTCTGACGGACTTGCAGAAAAATGAAACTCTGGACCACCTGATTAGTCTGAGTGGGGCAGTCCAGCTCAGGCACCTCTCCAATAACCTGGAGACTCTCCTCAAGCGGGACTTCCTCAAACTCCTTCCCCTGGAGCTCAGTTTTTATTTGTTAAAATGGCTCGATCCTCAGACTTTACTCACATGCTGCCTGGTCTCTAAGCAGTGGAATAAGGTGATAAGTGCCTGTACAGAGGTGTGGCAGACTGCCTGTAAAAATTTGGGCTGGCAGATAGATGATTCTGTTCAGGACGCACTGCACTGGAAGAAGGTTTACTTGAAGGCTATCTTGAGGATGAAGCAGCTGGAGGACCATGAAGCCTTTGAGACCTCATCACTAATTGGACATAGTGCCAGAGTGTATGCACTTTACTACAGAGATGGACTTCTCTGCACAGGTAAGGGCCTGGGCAAGTGCCCAGGGTGGGGAAGCAGGGCTCCTCTCTCCTGACAAGACCGGTCTCTGTAAGCTTGCTCCCTCTTGAGAAGAGCAAGCGTTGGTATATGGGACATTTGTAGTGATGCTTTCCTCTGAGCACATGTCCCCACTCCTCATGCTCTTCTTCTCTTAGAGAAGAGTCTTTTTTTGGGGGGGG